TGGCTCGGAGTGGGGCATGTGCTGGGTTACTTTGGGTCACACATTCCTCACTTTCCTGTGGCCCAGAGTGAGGCATGCACTGGGGTGCTCTAGTTAGCCCCTCCCCAGTGTGTAGTGTGGGTGGTTTGCTCTGGGTCATACAGTCCTCGCTTTCCTGTGGCCCGGAGTGAGGCATGTGCTGGGTTGCTCCAGGTAGCTCCAGCAGGACTGTCCCGGGGGCCGGGGTGGAGCGGGCACAGGTTGCTTTGAGTTGCACGGTCAGAGCTCTCCTGTGGCCCTGAGTGAGGTGCGTGCTTGGTTGTTCTGGGTCGCACTGTTCTTGCTTTCCTGTGACCCAGAGTGAGGTGTGTGCTGTGTTGCTCTGGGTAGCCCCAGGGTGGAGCAGGCACGGGTTGCTTTGGGTTGCACAGTCATAGCTCTCCTGTGGCCCGGAGTGGGGAACGCACTGGGTTCCTCCAGGTTGACCTGGCAGCAGGTCCTGGGGCTTGGCGTGGAGTGGGCACTGGATGGCTCTAGATCAGACTGGCAGCATGGTTCTGGGGCCCAGCGTAGGGGTGGGGTCCAGGGTTCTCCCTGGCTTGTACTCACTGCAGGGTCTTGGAGCCAGATCCTGGGATACTGGGTCCCAGTGGGCTGGTGAGGAGGCCTGGTGCCGGAGGTCACTCTGGTGAGTGCACACTGCAGAGTTCTGGGAGCCTGCCAGGAGGCACTGCGCCACTCACTGCTGGGGTATGTGAGTGGTTCCACTTGGATTATGGCTGGAAATTTGCATTCTCTAGGTGTCTTCTGCCCTTCCTTGTTGAAAATGGTCTCCTCAACTGTGTCTAATTTGTTAACTCCGGGTGGATGTTTTCTGATTTAGTTGCTTTTCTGGCTTGGCTGCAGGAGGAGGTCTGTGACACTTCTGTCTATTCAGCTGCCATTTTTCTTGTCTATCTGGTTTTAACTATTCTATGTGCCATGTAAATTGAGTCATATGTACTTGTCCTTTTGTGACTGGCTATTTTACTTAGCATAATGTCTTCAACCCATGTTGTAGCATAAGGTCATTTCTTTTTAACCTACTCATTTACTTTCTCACGTGGAAAAGAAATTTCAGTGTAATTTTCATTTTCAGGTTATCTTTATCAACTCAATCCCTCATTTTCAATGATTGTCTCAGTATCCACATTATGAATTGGGAGAGAAGTTCTTCCAAAGTGAACGGTCTGAGTTTCTGTCGTGCTCATGTCTAGGAAGTAAAACAGTTTGCCCTGTGCTATGAAATACACAGTTGTTTCTCTCATTTGGTCAGATCTAGAAACCCCAACTGGGCGATTCCCTAGTTTTGGTTTTTCAAGCTTTTTCTTCCTGTTATTTGAAGGACACATAATGGTGCCATGACATACCCAAGGCTTTTTCCGGGATGAATATTGTGTTTGCAGGGGGTAGTTCTGGCAGAGAGGGCAGAGAAGGTATAGGCTTCCACAAAGACTGTGTGATCTTTTCCATTAAAAAAAAAATGGGGGGGAGAGATAAAATGTAGACAGCACCAGACAGATTCAGTTGCCAAGGAAAGATTCAAATTAGATTTTACAGACCATTTGCCCTAAATCAAACCTAAAATAAGATTCCTTTTTATCAAGATCATTAATACTGACCAGTATAAAGTAGGAAATGAAATTGTTTACTCCTCATGTAATTAAAAATATTACTTGAAGTGTTAGATCTTTTGTCTGAGTTTCTCAGGACCTAGAAGTCATGATGGATAGAGGATTGTCATGCTGTTTTCTAGGAATCTAGATCTTTAAGGCAGGGAAAGAAAGGAAGGGAAAGAGCAGTTGGAGGAAGTTATCCACCCTTTTTCTTCCTTCATTAGTTGCCTCTAGAAGTGGATTTAACTAAAGCAAAGAGACAAGATTTTGAACCATTTGTGGAACAAGCGAGATACAGCAGCTGCCGACAGAACATGGCTCTGGGACCCACAAAACCACAGGAGGCAACCTCTCCTTGCAGACCAAGCCACTCAAATGATCCCCACATCATGATGCAGGGGGATAAGGACAGCAGATCCAGGTACAGGACCTAAGTTCCTACCTTTCTCTTCTGCCTTCTCATGCAGACTAAGTTATCTCCATTTTTACCTTCAAAGCCAGCAAGTTGGTTTGTTTGCCCCTCAGAACTGTATATTGTTTGTTCAGGTAACTCAGGAACTCACTCCCACCTTGTTGCTCCCTATGCAGAAGCCTGGCGTCCTCTGCTGCGGAGAGTGATGCCACTTTGCAGCGGAAGCTCCGGCAAAAACAGCTGCAGCAGCAGTTCCGGGAGCAAATGGAGAAACAGCAGCGAGTTCAGCTATCTGCTCCATCCATTGAAAAGAAGAATCCAGGTTTGTGAGAAGGCTGGGAGCAGAGGCCCCAGGGAGGTGTCCTCAGTACCCCAGGGAAGGCTTGTGGTCTGAGGACTCTGATCCTCTGCCAGCACAGTATGGTTAGGTCCAAATCAGAGCTCCAGTTACACACAGGATAGATGAGACAAAAAAATTAAGAGTGAAATCCTGTGTATTTTCCCCATTTCTAAAGACACTAATCTTTCGGGGGTGGGTGGGAGATGGGGAATGGGCCTTGACAACATCCGGAACTAGAAGTTTCTCAGTACAGAGGGTCTTTTGCTCGTTACTTTGACTGCCTCTGCATTACAAAGCCTTTCTGAGCTGACTTTGAATATAAGGAAGATTTGCATTTGAAGGTAAAGGGGGCTTCTGGTAATTATGTATCTGTGACCTTGTTTATTTCAGAGTTCAGATTCAGTGGGAATTGTATATAGAAGTTATTTTTGGAGTCTTTCCCAGAGAGTAGAAACAGAAGGGCTAATCCCAGATCAATGGGATTTTTGCTTAGCTTCTCCCTAAGAATTATGAAGTTTATAGAGGACTTGCTTTCATTAATATTCCCCTCAGCACTGAGGCTGAAATTAATGTAGAGGGAAAAAAAAACATCAACTTACGGTGCTTGGATGTTCTTAATAAGAATTAGTCTAGATCTTTAGCTTCCAAACCATTGTAGAGTCCCTGAGGGCGAGGGGTGGAGGAGAGTCCTCCAGGCCTTTCTCCCACCCCTATTCAGAGTCATTGATTATATTGGTTTCTCTATATTGAATCTCTACTTAAGAATTTCTTGGAACAAAGTTATAGCTTTAAAAAGTAAAAACTAGGCCAGATGTCTTCTAATAACCCTTCTATTTATGTCCCTAAAGGAGAAATAAACTGTTTCTCCCTCCCCTTTAGGGGAAAGGCTGTTTTGAACCTCATATAGATCTACAGGGGGACTGCGACTCAGGGTGTTGAATTCTGCTATTGGCTGTCCTATGAACCAGTGTAACTTTAGGCTGCTTTGCACTTCTGAGGCTGCTCCCTCACAGTTGAGTTCTGCGGTCTCTCCTGTGTAGCAGAGCCACCGGTGCCGCCTTTGAAACACAGCACTCCCAAAGCTGATGGTGCAGAACCAATCACCGAGAAAGACTTTCCTGCAGGTCAGTATATGCTAAAGGGATGCTAAGTATTAATCAGGAAATACCTACGAATTGCTTGTAAGTTACTGTACTGGATACCTTGGGTAGTTAGAAATGCATTTTAAAAAAGGCATAAAAGCCCTGGCCGGTTTGGCTTAGTGGTTGGAGCATCGGTCCTCTGACTGAAAGGTCGTGGGTTTGCTTCCTGGTCAATGGCACATACCACAGTTGCAGGTTCCCCAGCTCTGGTAGAGGCACATATGGGAGGCAACCAATCAATGTACCTCTCTCACATAGATGTTTCTCTCTCTCTCCTTTCCACTCTCTCTGGAAATCAATGGGGAAAATATCCTCAGGTGAGGATTTAAAAAAAAAAAAAAGAGAGAGATATAAAAATCCCTTCTGCTTTATAGCCCCATGAAGTTTTAGGAGAAAGAGGACCCAGAGTGGATGGATAGCAGTTCTGACGGTAGCACAGATTTAGCTCCCTCACTGTCTGTCCTAACAGAAGTTTCAATGTACTTTTAGGAGTTGGGGAGAGAGAATCTATAAACTATCATTGGGCACTCATGATATGTGATTTCTTATGACCTGATTTTCCAGTACTTTATGTGAGAACACTCCCTTCTTTGTTGGTACTACATTTTCCTGTGATCTGTCTTTGCAGACAGTTTTGAAATATGGGATATGGTTCCTGATGCAGGGGACGGTGCTGTCAAGACCTTGTCTATACCAGAGTCACACCAGACTGCTGCCACACCAGTCCTGAAGAACCAGATGGTGACCCGGAGCAGGACCCCACAAAGCCTTTGCCACCAGAATCCACAAGCAAAATCGCACCTCCAAACTCCCGTTAACCAACACATAATAGGTAGCAAAGTGTTTTAGGAACAGATATTGGAGAGCCTGGGTTTAGTTCTATGAATGTTAAAGGTGGAATAGCAGAAAATAGAAGATAATTGGTTTGAGAGCCAGAACTTGTGCTTTGCAATCCTAGTGGGAAGCTTAGGCATGACTGCATTAGGAGCTTTTCCTATGAAAAGTGGGCCCGTCATGATTACTTACAATCTGGTCTAGAGTTAACAGAGGGATGTCTTCATAACAGTTTTCATTCTTAGGTTTTTAAGTTTATTAGGATCATTAACTAATTCAGAAATTACTAGCTGTGAGTTCATTTTAAAATCATGGCAGCTATATTTAACAGCTTTCTCTTGCATAGGAAACTGTGATTCCTACAGGAAGAACCAGGAGTTGAAGAAAAGGAAATTGGATCCATCTTAACAGAGGCTCAGGTCACCTCACCAGACTCTCACAGAGGGACTTTAGAAAACTGCTTTTTGGCCATGAAATTGTTCATTATATTCCTAGGGAATGAGCTTTATTTCCAAGGATTTACTTGGCTTCCTTCTGAACTTTTCCAGAGGATTTGACTACTGGAGCCTACTGCAGATAAAGCTGAGCAGCTGGAAAACAAGTACTTTAAAAAAGCTTGTTGCGCCTCGGCCGCGGTCCCCGAGATTGGACTTCTCCCGTTCATGCACCTTGCTCGGCGTCCTCTGCAACCATGTCTGACAAACCCGATATGGCTGAGATTGAGAAATTCGATAAGTCGAAATTGAAGAAGACAGAAACACAAGAGAAAAATCTACTCCCTTCAAAAGAAACGATTGAACAGGAGAAGCAAGCAGGCGAATCGTAATGAGGCACACGCCGCCAATATACACTGTACATTCCACAAGCATTGCCTTCTTATTTTACTTCTTTTAGCTGTTTAACTTTGTAAGATGCAAAGAGGTGGGATCAGTTTAAGTGACTGTGCTGCCCCTTTCCACATCAGAACTACTGACGACGAAGGCCGCACCTGCCGCTCCCATCTGTCTGGCTGGCTGGTGGGGAAGGGGGACAACTTGCATTTTGGTGAAGGAACGAGCTGGGTGGGACAAGGTGAAATCTAGAGTTAAAACCAAGCTGGTCCAAGGGGTCCTGTGGGCTGTAAAATGCAGTTTAATCAGAGTGCCATTTTTTTTGTTCAAATGATTTTAATTATTGGAATGCACAATTTTTTAAATATGCAAATAAAAAGTTTTAAAACCTGAAAAAAAGAAAAAAAGAAAAAGAAAAGCTTGTTGCACATTGAGTAGGCTTTGGGTAGATTAAATACCTTTTCTTGGGCTCTTGATGCTCATTATTTATTCTTAACTATTATATTAATAAATACAGAACTTTTAGGCATCACCAGTGGCTGAAAGTAACATAAGCCATACTACCAAGCACCAACTTTTAACAGCGATCTACATTACTGGGTGTCTCTGCCTTTCACGTTAGGGCACCAAGTTCCAATGTTGCCCACACAAGGGCTTGGAACAAAGTGTGGAGTGGTGTTTGACTCCTGTGCATCAGAGTCCAGGCTGATCTTCATCCATGTTAATCTCTCATTTAATTAGGGGGCCAATGATGTAAAGCCAAAGAAAAGGAATTTTAAGAACACAAAATAAACCCATTATTTGGTAACAAAATAGAAAATGTAAGTTGCTGTATATAGTTCCCCATTCAGATGTGTGATAAACCCATCTTAACAATAAATTGTTTTTCCATCATGCTTTGTAGATGTTTAATAATTCTTTCCCTCAAATAATGAGTTTGCAAGTCTACTTTTTAAGGTGCATTTTTGGGCTGTACCTTTTAATCTAATCTTGAAGCAGTGGCTTTTATTTTTTTGAATAACATGCATTTGTGGGAAGCTGGGAACCTGAGGCAAGGAACTCTTAAAGAACAGAAGGCAGTAATCCATTTCTATTTCTTGGGAAGATGAAGAGGCAGTGGCTTACCCTAATTTCTTTTTTTTAATCCTTACCTGAGGATAATTTTCCATTGATTTTTAACGAGAGTGGAAGAGAGAAGGAAAGAAGAGAAATATTGATGTGAGAGAAACACATCAATTGGTTGCCTCCTGCACGAGCCCTGACCAGGGCCCAGGCCAGAAAAAAAGCCTGCAACCGAGGTATGTGCCTTTGAGCGGAATCAAACCCGGGACCCTTCAGTTCACAGGCCAATACTCTATCCACTGAGCAAAACTGGCTAGGGCTGATTTCTCTTTTATCTCACCTATTGTGCAGATTTAGTTATATAGCCATTTTTTGATTTTGATATTCTTATCATCTTCAGAATATCATCTTTGTCTGCAGCATAACCATAGTTCAGGTCAGACCTGCTACTAAAGTTAGGAATCCAGTTATAAATTGCACACAGAACAGCTGATGAAATCATAAAAAATGAATTGGTTGGGAATGAAACCCCACAACTCATCAAAAGCAAGTTTGGTTTATTTGAATGGTTTCATTAAATAAGTCTACAAAGGTTACAAACTGAAGCACAAAGCGCAATCTTACAAGAAGCGCAACACCCAGAGTTAGTGCAAAATGTACAATTAACGGCTGCGGAGAAACCCAAGGTTTGAATTGTTTATTCGTTTTTTTTAAACAGTATACATTGTTAAATAATGTAAGGAAAACATTTATAATTCAGAAAGATTTTTTAATGTGGAAAAAGATACTCAAAGTGTACTATTAACACAAAAATAATTTAAACATTTCAGTAGCTAGTTCATTCCTCTAGGTTTCAGTTATTTTATCCACAGGAAGGAAAAAAAAAATCAACAGTAAATAAAACCAGTTCTTTCTTTTTGTGAATGAAGAGATCCCAAAATTATTGAACCAAAATAACAAACAATGTGCTGCATTTGGCTTGCTTGTTTCTCTAGTAAAACGTATTGTTTCATTTGTCTCAGGAAGTCCATTGCTTGTTAATTTGGCCACCTTCTTTGTTCTATTCCTTACTCTTACCATCTCCCCAAGAATTATAAGCAGAGAATAAGTAAACAATTTTGAAGGAGAGCTTGGAACCTCTGCCCTTTTCATTTCTACCTTTCTAAAACCTTCAGCTTTCATTTGCATCACTGGGGCCTAGGCTAATGTAAAGAAACAGGGCCCACGGAGGGACAACCGGATAGGAGAGCCAAACAGGCTCTTCCTATTGTGGTGATTCCTGGGATGTGCCGTTGAGGTGGGTAAGAGGTTGGAAATATGTCAATTTCCCAACTCAAGAGTCAAGACAAGAAGCACCCAAAAAATTAAGAGTCCTAACTTTTTCCCCATCTTCAGAGATTAATAGAGAACCCCAGTTAGCCAATTAGGAGAGTATTTCCTGAAAGCTCTGAAAATAATAGAACTGCCCATTATAACTAGGCATAGCACTAAATAATACTGGTTGGTTGCAGTTATTAAGGAGCATATTTGTTAAAATGAAATGTGAGAATATCAGTTGCAATTGCAGAAATAAAGGTGGCACAACAGATTATGATCCTGCAACCATTTGGACATAGGAGAAGAACAGGAAGAATATGATTCTTTCCTATAATGCTTACTTCAGATGTGGTTCCACTTTCCACAAAAATACAATACCCCAAGCTGAGAAATGCCTGGTACATTTGCAACAAGAGGAAAGCAATCCAAACAGTTTTTTTAGAGCAACTTTCTCCATCTGTGACACTTTTCACTATCACGTTTTCCAACTTCAAAACTAACCCCCTCTCGCTTCCCATGTTCAGCCATTTCTTCTAGGTCTGTTCAAGCCCAGCTCAATGAGTAAGGCTATGGCCAGGCATCACATTACTTCAAACAAGTTTGTTCTCCCATACCTTAGTCTTTTTCTTTCACTTGTCCCACGCCTCCTTTAATCTTTTAAATTGCCCAATTTTATTATAGCACCCCTCCTCACTATTCCTGAAACAGAACTTTCTGCTTTCAAGCACTGATGTCAACTTAATTTCTCAACCTGCTCATCTCACACCTGCTCTAGACAAAATTGTTAAATGACTTAAGAACACTCTCAATTTCCCTTTGGCATAACCCATTGCTGGGGTCACCTGGGCCTTAGATTTCCTCCCACATGCCCTTTGCTGATCTGGGGTCTGATGAGAAGTTGATGCTAATGGCAAAAGCAATAGAAGTCCAAGGCACTAAAATATCCAGCAAGCAATACTGGGAGAACAGAAGTATTCAAGTAAGTAATTTATACAATTTTACATTCACATTTATTTATCTAATACAATGGAAATACAAAGGAAAATGTTAAAGTGTCTCAATAAGTAAAGGACAGAGCTAGCTTTTTTTTTTCAACCTTTTAAACCTTTCATATTTTCATCTTAAAACTACTGTTGTCCAACAACATTTATATATCACAGTGTTTCCACATCAAAACTGATGGCAAAGTTACATGTCCGCAGGGAACGTTTTTTTCCTAATTACTAATGCTGCAGTCAAAGCTGCTAATATCATCTGCTTAAAGCACTAATGACCTATCATAAGGGTTGAAACTTCAATCTTCTGGTGTTTTTCACTGGGTTCTAAAGAGAGAGAGAGAGAGAGAAAGGGGTGGCGGGGGGTGGGGAGGGGGGAGAAGAGTAGGGGTGGGTGGAGGAACAGGGTAAGAAAGAACCCAATACTTTTGTCTTGTGGCTTAGATTCTTGAAGGAATGAGGGACTTGGGGTAGGTACCAAAATTAAGAGCTACACCCACTTAAAAATACAGGTGGGGTTTGGTTTTCCCTTGAGCACTCTAATAGCTTCCTGATAAAAGCCCTTCTCTTTCCTAGCCCTCACTGTTGGGTACAGGTAAACAGGAAAGCACAAGTTGAAGCTACCCCACCACAAGAAAGCTGCTCTTTCCTTCTTGTCCCACTCCAATTAATGGTGAAGGGGAGGAAGACTCTCCATTTTGAGGGCTCTAAGCAGTATTAAAAACATTCCTTTCTGGCAAGAAATAATCAGTTAAATGCAGCACTAGTAGTTAGTATATAGGCTACTAACCCCTCCACCCCCAATCACTCAGCACTCTTTCCTGTCCCCAAATCTACTCAGTTAATGTCTCTAGGTCTAAGTGGTCCGCAGGTTGGAACCTGGGGGGTTGCTGATGGATTTCTGCAAATTGCTGATGTTGAAATTCTGTAAGGAGGCAGTCCCCACAGGCTGGAACTGCCCAAGTGGCTGTGGTGCAGGGCCACCCGTCCCACTCCATTGAGTGCCAAAGGGAGGAGCTGGAAAACTGTACTGCTGTGGGGGGCACATAGACTTGGTGAAGTGACCTAGAGAGGTAGCTGATGCTGCAGAGATGGGGGCAGGGCCACCCAGGTTTGAGGTCATGGAGATGCACAGCTGACCAGGTGCTGAGAACTTCCTTGCCATTCCAGGGCCCTGAAAACAAAACAACTCATTGTAAAGGGTGGTGTAGGCATAACATGCGTGAGTGTGAAATGGGCAATACAAAAATACAATTTTACAACTGGGGCAGCTCTACTCTTATAAATCCTTTCATAATAATAATTATTGGCTCTTTACACTTACCTGACAGGGGAGAATAACCATTCAGTCCGGAACTGAGTGGTGGTGTGTGTGTGTCTGTTTGTGTATGACGACGGGCATGCAGTTCAGGGTAATAAAGGAAAGGGAAGAAAAAACTGAGTTGACCAATAGGGAGTGAAGGATTCAGGGAAGGAAAAATAAAAGGGTACTTGGGTGATTTTTGTCTTGTTTTTCTAAAAGTATTAAAATTGCCTGGCTGGAGTGATACAGTGGTTGAGCGTCACCCCATGGACTAGGTCACAGTTTGATTCCTGGACAGGGCACATGCCAGGGTTGCAGGCTCAATCCCCAGGAGGGGGGCGTGCAGGAGGCAGCCGATCAATGATTCTCTCTCATCATTGATGTTTCTATCTCTCTGAAATCAATAAAACCGTATTTTAGATAAGGCCCGAGAAATGATTTGGTCTTGCCCTTCCAAGGCATTATAGCCTTTGACAGGTGGTGGAGTCCCGCTCCCTGCGCGGACACTCCTGGGCGGCCAGCACAGGCACAGCGACCACGCCATCTTGGGAAACAGAGCTGCTTGAGACTAGGATCCTGGCCTCAGCACCACCCAGTCTGATCTCAGACGCATACCAGGACCCTGCAGCCACTGGGGACAGAGACCTGTG